AGTCTGTCTGCCCAGCTGTTGCCTCAGTTTCCGCTTGTTAGAAACCCATTTTTGAAATATGAACTTTTGGAGTTGTTCTTTCTTCTGCTGACGAATGCCGACAGTCATTAATAAATTAGGGGTTAAACCATTGGTGAGAGCGGGAGGTCGGGGGTTGGGTGTTGCTTGGGAGGGCAGAGCTGGTTGGCGGTGCTGAAAAGTTGTTTATTTAATTGAAAGTGAAACGAGCGCCAGCAGATTTGTTTAACTCAATTAAATAGGAGTAGAAATCAAGACAAGGGCAGGCGGGGAGGCGGGGAGGCTTTGCTTTTACGATCCGGCCAGTTGTCGTCAAGCACACAGTTTTACAGTTAAATTCAATACACACAGTTTTAGTTACACTTTGTCAATATGAATAAAATTGTTAGCTATTGGTATAAGGGCGATGCCTGCCAAGCGGCGGGCGTGATCAGTCCAGAGGAGAGCGAAATACTGAGCTCCAGCGACTTTGATGATGAAACTGTTTCTGCAGAGGAGCCTGATCTGAATCTGCCCTACCAGCAACTGGAGGCGATTAAGCAGCGTCTCAAGAAAATGCGAGCCAAGCTGATATACACACCGCCCGATCCGTGCGAACAGGAAGACGACGGCGTTTCGGCCGGAGAGCAAGCTGACTTCCTCAACCAGAAACAATTACAACTGCAGCAGCTGCGTCGCAGCAACTGTCTCCTGCGCTGCCAGCTGCAGAGTCGTGTGCAGCATTTGCATAGGGCACGCAAAGAGCTGCTCCTGGTGGAGAATATGCGCTGTCAGCTGAACAAAATGCTGGAGAAGATGGTCACCGAGATGAACATCTTAGAGGAGTTCAAAGTCTCGGTACAGCATCATTTCGGGCTCTGCATCGAACGGAACGAGCAGATCAAGATGAGCAAAATTGACTGCCATGACTTTAGTGAACTGGTGCATGACAAGACCATCCGTAGGATGGGACATATGCGCCCGCTGGTGCCCCTCCGTTGCCATTTGCAAGTGCGCTACAATCTGAACGTGGAGCTCATACTCCTACGCGTCTTCCTACAGTCGCTCTTTGGGAATATCACTGAGGACTGGAAGCTATTCAATCGCATCCTAAAGTAAGTTTATAAGATACATAGATATATAGATGCATAGATATATAGATACATAGATACATAGATACATAGATACATAGATACATAGATACATAGATACATAGATACATAGATACATAGATACATAGATACATAGATACATAGATACATAGATACATAGATACATAGATACATAGATACATAGATACATAGATACATAGATACATAGATACATAGATACATAGATACATAGATACATAGATACATAGATACATAGATACATAGATACATAGATACATAGATACATAGATACATAGATACATAGATACATAGATACATAGATACATAGATACATAGATACATAGATACATAGATACATAGATACATAGATACATAGATACATAGATACATAGATACATAGATACATAGATACATAGATACATAGATACATAGATACATAGATACATATCTCTTTATATTTACATTTCTTCATATTTACAGGAAATCTTGCAGAAAGAAACACAAGTGCTCCAATCAGAAGGAATCTAATAAGTTGTTGGCCCTTGGCAATTAAAGTGCTCTGACCCGAGTCTCGGTCATTAAATGTTTCACATTTTACTTTTTCATTTTATTTTCATTTTCATTTGCGTTTTATTGGCTGAGTTTTTGGCGCTCGGTTCTAATTGCTTTTGAAATGTCGCTCAATTAAGATTATTGGCGCTTGGCGGCTTTTATGGCACTTCTGTGGGCTGCTCCCTCCCCTCTCTCTGCCCCTCTTCTTTCCATCTCGCTCACTGTCGTAATAATTATAAAATTTCAAGAGAAATTGGCTCAGCAATTGCTTCAGATTAATGACGTGCGCTTTTATTTGACGGCGTTAAAGTTACAATATCATAGCAGCAATCCGGCTCGCCCTTGCTCCCTGCTACCCCCACACATCCTGCCACTGGCCACATTCTAATCCTGCCACACAAATGTACGCATTCCCACCAGGATAAGCCGCTGCAGCTAAATACGAAACGGCATCAGATAAAAACAAAGCAGATTTGTCTCCCACACACACACAGAAAACAAGAAAAAAAAAAACCCTGAAAAGTCCCAACAAAAAAATAGAAACGAAAATGGAGCTCTTGACAGCCCGCAGCTAAGCCAAAGGCAAGCCAACACATTGACATTGGGCTCCACATCCTCCAGCTCCGCCTCCTACTGCTTCGCCACTTTGTTTAGCCTTGTCGAACTGCGTAAAAACTCAATTGCCGCGCATTGCCAGACAGGCACCAAAAGGCACAAACTATGCATTGAGATCGGGTGGCTCACTCACTCTCTTTCTCTCTCTCTCTCTCTCTCTCACTCTCTTTCTCTCTCTCTCTTTGTTTTGCTTCCTTTCTCTGAGCTCTATAGTTAGTCGGGGGCTAAGGCTACATTGGGTTAAATACGCCTCAGTCCTTCTACTGCATTGAGTGAGAGATAGCGCCAAACGGCAAAAGCGAATTTATTGGAGTCATGTCCTGATAAGCATTCGCTTCAATTCCATGCCAAATTACAATGTTACAAGCCCGAAAAGCGATTACCAGCGCCTCAACGAATCAAAAATACTCTCGAATATAGTTAGAGCATAGAGTTCTGTTTGTATATAGATTTATAGGAGATATAGGTGTATGTGAATTTCAACATTTGCTTTCTTTTACAATTCACATGTAAAGATAAATTACCTTATAAAAAAAATATTAATTTTAAATTCACAAAATTGCTTGAGATGTTGCCTCATAATATATATGGCAATATATGATCTAAAGAATCTATACCTTTTATTTTATTCGATCTTAAGGACTAACTTTAATCTTCCTATATCTAAAGTTTTTCTTTTTATGAATATGTACTTGTATTACTTCATTCACTTGTCAAATTTAAATAGAAAATCAACTTTTGCACGCTCCTATTTGTTGCAGGGTATACAAAACATAGATAGACACATCGAGATACAGGCAACGTTACAACACATCAGACTACATGGCTGATACACAGGAAACGCATTAGATACTTTTAGGTACGGCGACTGGCACTGGCTGTTCATATGGGTCTGTGTGTGTGTGTGTGTGTTTGTGTGTTGACTGGGCCAGACCTGGACACTGGACCCTGGCTAGAATGTGCTGTTCTGGTCAAGTTCGGTGGCTGCTGTTGTTGGCAGTGCGATAAAAATCTGCGTAAAATGATGCGGCAATTTGATGAGCAACTAACTTCAGGCAATTAGTTTGGTCGAAACGCAGTTACAGCTGGAGTTGGGAATTGGTAGTTGCGAATTAGAAGTTTGTCGTGCGTGTTTAACTGTTGCGTTAGTCAATAAATGGCGAAAGAGGGGAAACAATTGTTATTGCAGCGGGAATTGTAGGTAGTAAGCCTAATGGCATTTAGTGTTAATGTGTTTAGCAACTGTTTCAAGGTTTCGTTTGATTTATGTGCAGACATAAGGAAGAAACTTTAAAGATAAGTTGCGATACACAGGCTCGAATCGAAGACAAACTCTGGCTATAAATGGCAAAAGGTCCCCAACGAGAAGTCTCTGACAGTAGCCACAGTTAGTGGAGAATGTAAGTTTGTGAATGCCTTTCAGCTATTTTTATGCTGTTTAGCAGGCGAACTCAAAGATACATTTCAAGTGCTCAAGTTCTCTGGTGTGTGCATGTATGTATATGTGTGTGTTGGCGTGAGTAGCCGCAAGAGTACAAATAATTTCCATTTGGCCAACATTTGCATTTATCTTCAGCTTCACAGAGGCAAACATGCCTACTGCCAGCTGCAAAAGTATGTGTACTGAGATGGCTCGGAAGAGGGGGAGAGGGAGAGTGGCAGAAGTAGAGAGCGAGAGATATGTCTACTTATAAATACTTTGACGACTGGCACAAGTTGTAGATAAATATGGCATAGATTACATAACTAGTTCTTGCAGCCAAACAAAAGTTTGCCTACGCACCTTTCCCTCTCTCTCTTTGACTTTTAAATATACAGCTATTTTCCTTGGCGCTTTTCTCTGTATGCACAGCTATTTTTAATAATGCTCTCGAATTCTGTCCAGCCACCATTTGTAGGGCATTTGACGAGCGCATCTGGCAGGGCGCCGTGGCTTAGTTGGTTAAAGCGCCTGTCTAGTAAACAGGAGATCGTGAGTTCGAATCTCGCCGGGGCCTTCGAAGCGTGAAAACTTCGCGCAACAGTTGAATTTTTTTCAGAAAAGAAAATATTTTTCAATTAGAAATTCAACAGCATCTGCCATTTGTGCCATTGTTATTGTTGTTTCCGTTTTCCGCCCGTGTGTTGCCATAACTGTTGTTATTGTTGTTTGCCATTAACATGGCTGCAATTGCCTCAATAATTGTTTCCAATTTCGTTAAAATCAGCCATGGCACTTGCTGCTGCTGCTGGAAAACGAAAAAAAAAAATAGCTATATAAGTTTGCAGTGCTAAAAAAGCTTCTAATGAAAAAAGCTTTGCTTTATTTAGCTTTTTTCAAGCAGGTACTCTACCTAGCGCAACGACACGGCTGATAAGCTGAACTAGATTTAAAGCATTTACTATTTATTATCAAATTTATAGGTATGTAGGGGGAAAACAAAAGGGTTGATTACTAAATACCCTGTTAAATTTAGCCTAAAATAATAAAATAAGATAATAATAATAATATGGAGATATTTTAAACTAGATTTGAATTAATTAAAAGTTTAAAAAATAAATAGAACAATTATTGATAAATTTAAAAAATTAAATATTAAAAAATATTGAAATTTAATTGAATTGAAACGTTTATCTCTTTGAAATATTTTATCTAAAAATAAATATAAAAAATAATGAAGACATTAATATATTGTTACGTATTTTTTCTAACAATTTATTTATAAATAAAGTATTGCGTTGCCCACTTAATAATTATTTAAATTCTTATACAATATTTCACTCAGTCTAGTCTCATAGCCCAATCAGAACTTCATAGATTTGATATGAGTGTACTTAAGCACAGCCAACATACATACATATAAATCAATACATATCTCTATCCCTCCCTTTCCCTCTACCGCATATTTCCATCAATATACTATCTTCGTGTTTTGTTATATCTCTTACGGAACGAAAACATGTGAACAAATATTCAATTAAACAATGGACTTCTCAGGTAGACAGCTATAAATAGAAATCGAGCGCAGTTCAGTTACCTGAAGGTGTCTATTTTTACCAGTGAAACCAGTGGGGCGCCGTGGCTTAGTTGGTTAAAGCGCCTGTCTAGTAAACAGGAGATCGTGAGTTCGAATCTCGCCGGGGCCTTCAGTAGATTAAATCTACTATAATAAATTTTTTTCTGTTTTCTTAATATAATTTAGTTTTTCTACAATTTTTCTACATGCAAAGTCTGCTAATTTTTATGAAATACTCCTTAAATTAATTTAATTCACAACTGGTTTGTGCACATGCTAAAGCTTTTTATGTGGAAGCTTTCAGAAGTTCGTCTGGCCTCTAGTCCTGATAGACCAGATACAGGACGACAATCATGAAGTACGTGGGCCGCTCGTAAACCAGTTGCGTAAAATTATCCCGCTTCTCATCCATCAGATGGCACATTCGCTGATAGATGCCCTGATTCTGTTTCTCCACAATCGAGAGCAGACACACGATACGATGGCTGTAAAGTATTTATATAGATTTCGTTTTTGATGGGTTCAGCTGGGTTACCGATTTGTGGTTTATAATCTGTACAACACTCACCGCCTGTGGTTTAGCTTCTTGACCCGATCCCGTATCTCGGCCGCGAGACTCTCGACCAGCTGCAGCGCGCGCCAAGAGTCGAAATTGCGACTGAATCGATCCCACAGCAGACGCTCCTCAATGCAATCCTCGATGATTTTATGGGCACGTTCCATATTGAAATTGGTGTGAAAGAATTTCCAATCATTTTTCGGCTTCTCCTTACGCTCGGCGCCCTCGCCACTTCCACCGGCAGCTCCACCGCCTTCGAACAGGTCAGAGCTCTGCAGCGCTCGCCGTCGACTCAACATGGATTCGGAGAGCAACGCATTCATTCGATTGGTGGTCCGCACCGAGGCGGTGATGCTGCAGTTGAAAATGGAAAGCTAAAGGTGTTAATTAAAGCAAACGAGCACATACCGCGTCTTCATCGCGGTCCAGGTGGACATGGCCGGAGTGCCAGACATAAGTATATTATATTTATATTATTTACAAAAGATATTGGCTAATGTTAAACAAATTCCATGCACTGCTATCTGCACACTGACAGCCACAATGACGATGACGATGTCTCGGCACTGACATGCCGACACGCCGAGCACATCAGGCTGTCGGGCTGCCCCCCTCTGGCTTCTATATAGTACATATATAGTTGGATCGGAATTTTGTTGGTTTTGGAGGCAAACTCTTCCGGCTTGCGTGCCGCTTATCATAAAGTCAAAGGCAGCGCTCCAATTGCAATGGCGATGTGGGTGTCATCACCATGCAGAGGAGGCAACACACAGTCAAAGTGTTGCCATATATAACCCTCTCACTCCCTAGCTCTCTCTCTTTCTCTCTCTGTCTTAGTCCCGTGTTGGGGGTCGGGCAAATTACTTGAGCTCTGAGCCATGAGCACGCGAAGCCTTTCGAGTTGATGACTTTTGATCGGTTTTGGTTTGGAACCACCTTTAGCGAGGTGGCGCATCCGGCTGTTCGAAATCGCGGCCATTGTGCGGTTTACGGGCAAAGTTCAAGTACTTTGATTGCATTTACGACACTTGCTGAAACAGCGACGCCCCATGAGTTGAGCATAAAAATCCGTATAAATATCGCTGCCATAGCGTATACAAAGTTCGTGCTGCCGTTAACTGATAGTTATTGCTGCATATATTCCATGAACATAAATACATATATATTTATGAACTTATTAGATTGATAAAGCCCTCAGCCATATTTACAATCTAAAGCAATGCGCTATAATTGTGTTGGGGTAGTGCATGGGTAATGCATGTTTGTTTATTTACAGTGCTGGGCATTCAAATAGAACAGGTTCGATAAATAGTATGAATTGGCTTCAATTGTTTTGCTAGATAACTGCAGACGTTTGATTGATTGAAGAATTAAGAAATTCTAACCACTTTTTTTTTTATTTCTTATAAATAATAATAATTAATAGAGGTAATAGGTAGACTTTGATTGATTGACCGGTTAGTGTAAATTGAATATATGTTGATATGTAAAATTACTTTACTTTATGTATTCTACAGACATACGTCCATGTATATCTATATTTTTCCCTCAATTGCTCTATGTCTCTTGTCCTCTCTCACTCTTTTCATCGCATGTTCTCTTCCCCTGAGGTGTTATCTGCTTTAAGTTTCATCCTCTTGTATAGTGTTTCGCCACCTCTCGTTTCCTCTATTGCCTTTTCCTTTATCACTATCAGCATATTATTCTCTTTGAAGAAACTATCTCTATTCCTTGTGCTAAACCTATCATCAGTTTTCCATCTCTCTCATATTCTTAGTTTTTTATATATTTTTTTCTATCTCTCTTTCTCTCTCTCTCTCTCTCTCTCTCTCTCTCTCTCTCTCTCTCTCTCTCTCACTTTCTCTCTCTCTCTCTCTCTCTGTCTCTCCCATGTCCCTCACTCTTTCCCTCTCTATCGTACTAGTTCACATTTCGGTCTCCATTTTTCCATCCCAACTTTATCAGAGATAAAGGTGAATATCTATTCCCTATTTATTTTTTCTCTCCCCTTATTTCTTTTTTTTTTGCATCTATATATATCTCTCTCACTCTATCTAATCTTCTTTCATTTCTTTTGTTTATTTAGAGAGTTTTTGGCAAGAGAGAATTCCTTCAACAGAAGCTACTATACTATCTGAATTGTGGTGTTCTTTTTAAATTTAATGCTTAAAGATTACGGAATAGATATGAAAATTAAATGAATACTAAAGCGTGTTGACACAGCGGTAGCCGTGGCAGCAGCAGCTATAAATCTTTTATTACTTGAGTAATAAAATGTAAATGTGTCTCTCTGTGCGTGTGTGTGTGCGAATGTGTGGGTATGAGGGGGCAACTAAATATAATAGAGCAGTCGAACTACATTCACATTCACATTCACATTCACGTGTGCTGCCAGCAATGTTAGTTGTTAAGGGGAAAGTTCCACTGTAATGTCTGCCACGGGGCAGTTACCTGGGTTTACTAATTGCCGAGCACAAAGTTTACGACACGTGAATATGTGCCAAAATTAAGGAGCAACGGTGGCAACAAATTAACCAATTTTGTTGCTGCCACCCGCAAACACAAGGTGAAGCTCGATGCGCAAATGTTGACGACTTTTATTTGCATATAAACTTACGCTTGCATGCGACTCATCAGGCGCCACCAATTATGCTATGCTTTTCACTGACTGACGAACTGACTGACTGGCTAACTAGCTGACTGACTGTTAGCCGAATTATATTTTTGGCAAAACTGCACGTGAGCTCGTCTCAAATGTGACTGGCTTCTAACTACGCTAAACATAAAAGCGCAAAGCTAAACCCCAAAAATGGAAACAATAATAAGTAAAAGTGGTTTAAGTGAAATTGATCGGCTAATGGATACCCTGTACATCAAGTTAAGCAGAAAATATGAGCATTTCCATTGTTTCTGTCTATACAAAACCTATTGACTGTAGCTCTTGTCTTACCCTCAGGTAACAGAAAATTGATATCGATTCAAATACAAATACTTAATTTATTGGGCTATATAATCTATATACTGATAGATACTAAAGTCAATGCGCGTAGATATGTGAGTGCATTGATTTATTAAAAACGCAAATAGATTAAAAAAATTTATATATATAATAATATAACCTTTGGAAAGAAAACTTAGGGTATATAAAAATAAAACTAATGTCGAGGCAATGCGCATTCACTTGCTCTAACAGTAAGCCAAGGTGTTTGTTACCTTTGCCTGGAAAGGGTTAGAGAAGAGAAGCAGCAGCAGCAGAGGGTTGGGAAAGTAGTTACACCCAAACCCACCTGCCCCTGCAGATGGTATCTTCCATAGTTTCTGGCTTGGATTTCAGTGGCATGTCTAAGGACAACTCAGACTGTTTTATGGAGCGGTTCACATGTGTGTATGAGTATGTGTGTGTGTGTGTGTGTACATGTGTGTGTACATGTGTGTGTACATGTGTGTGTGCGTTGTCTAAATTGTATTTATTTTGAGTAATTTAGTTTATATTTGTTATATGCATATTATACACACACATGCATACTCACACACACACACACACACACAAACACACGCTCAGCTAGGTGTGTGGCAATTAAAAACTTAGGTTACAAACTGTCGACACAGCTGCATGCAAACCCGTTTACTTTGACAGGTGTGTGTATGTGTGTGAGTGTGTATGTGTAAGCGTGTGAGTGTGATCGCGTGTCTAAATTCGCGTTGAACATATCCACTTAAGAATTGCATTTAAAAATCCACAAAAATCAGAGCGCTGCATGTGAGCACCGTTTAGCTGTGTTAGCCAAAAAGTTTGCACTTGACACATGCTTAGAGCACAAAATATGATATGTGGGTTAGAATATAATAGATAGAAGTGAGTTGCCAGCCCTTACAAAATATTATAGATAAAAATTGTTATACAGTTGTTTCTAGATTTAAAAAAAAGTTGTTATTACATTTTTTATGTAACTGGAATTTCAAATATCAATGCTTAGATTATTCTAAATATCAATAAAATCCCTCGTATAGAACTCTGAATGATTGTGCTAAATTCAACGGCTTTCACTGCTCAGTAGTAAAACCTAAAACGAATTCTATTAATAAAATATACTTGTATAGTACCATCAATTATAATGATTAACGAGCTTCTTAGCAATCCATAAATTGTGATAATAAATCAGTGAGAGTTTACAATGAACAATCAAAAAATGTATTCTAAAACTCTGAAATGTAAAACTTTTAACTACGACTAAATTTTATTTAGATCTCCATATAAACTCTACAAGGCGCTTATCTAAAAAAATTTGTATACCATAGTTCTTATCTAGGGTATACTTAGTTAATTGATTATATCAACTTCTATCTTACTATCAAACGGCCTTTGCACTGTACTCAGATGAATCACTTTGATACCAATAATTTTACTTTCTTCAAAGCATTTATTTCACTGTTGACCTCTCTCTGCCTGCTTAAAGATCAATTATTGTCTATTTTTTACTTATACATATATCCCTTGCTGCTCGATGGTCAGGGTTAGTGCACTAGTAATTGTACTAAATCTACATACTTTTTCTTTCCCCATGAAATACGTCTTATTTACACAATTGTATATTTTATATATACAAAAAGCACAAAAACTTGTAAATATATAACTTTTATAAATATCTCATTAACTACATAAATTTGCCCTCATACATTTAATTCTATATATCAATATTTCTTTTCGTAGTTATCATATTCTTTTATGGGCAGTATTAGTTAATCTGCAATATATATATTTCATCAAACATATATATGTTTTGCATATTTATATATATATATTTTTTATTTTATTCACTGATTATGAAAAATACGAATTTAATTTTAAAGAATTAATTTATAATATTTATTATTTTTTACATTCTTCATTTTCACTTTTCTATATGGTATGATTTCCAAGAATGATCGAAATGATATTTATCTAGTCAAAACATAGCTTATATAATTCTTCAGCTCGCCCGAAAATGATTCCAAGGCAATAATTGCGTGGCTTAATTAAAATACTTTATTAGCTTCTACTCAATCTTCTTGAACATTTATGGAGCATAGTATGATACAAATGGAACATAGTTAGGAACTAGCCTAATATCTGGTACGACGTTCCTCGTTGTTAAAGTGAATGCCCAAAATTGTGGAGCATACAAAGGCGGCGGCCTAAAAAATTAAAAACAAACAGATTGTTAAGGTTGAGTCAATAGAGTAAATATATATATTTTTATAGATAAGTGCACATACCTCAACGGCTATCAGAATCCAGCCAAATACCTTAACCAATTTCGTGGCCTGCTCAAAGAAATCGATCATTTTCTTTAAGCAGCCATCGGGGTAAACTGTGTGTGTGGACGTAGTAGCAGTGCTATTCGTTACATAACAGCTGGTTGGAATTGTTAGATTCGATTTCGTATAGTCGATGGGGCCTGTTATGCCACAGCATTTGAACTGAAAATAGAAGTTAGATGATTAGAAATGTAGGTAACAGTGTAATAATTTATAAATGTCAATTTTAATATAATGTAATACATGAAAACTATTGTGCTGATACTTTGTATATAAGTATATGGAAATTAGATATTTTCATCTTGTCTGACTTTAAAGAAAATAGGACAATATATTTTTTTTTTATTTAATATATTAAAATATAATAAGTTAAAAAAAAAAAATATAAATCATAAAAATGGAAACAAAATAAGCTATAAAATTAGTCTTAATTGTCTAAAACTTACGGTCGTCTGATAGGTGCCCATGGCGTCCGTGCCATTCTTCTGCTTTTCCCAGGCAGTATTCAATTGCTCATGGGCAATCTGTGATTCATTAATATGATTCACATAGGCAAAGCACAGCACGCAAGACAGCACCAGAAGGATCAGCATAATAATGCAGTACTACAAAATAAATACATATAGAAATGAATTAAGAAATTCGAATGGGAATATTAAAACTAATTTACTTACCATCCAGGTGAGGCATGTGCTTTGTTTAATGGAGCCACAGCAGCCAAAGAACGATATCAGAAAGACAATCGAGCCGATCACAATGAAGACTATAACAATGGGGCGTGTCTCCTCAGCAACATCTTTAAGGGCAATAGCGTTGACCACAATAACGCCAATGCCCAAAATCTGAAAAATGGAACCAAACAAAGTTTAAAAACAACATTAAGTTCAAGTTGAGGAAGTCGGTTATGAAATAAGACTCTGTTCCACTTAGATAGGAGTGTGAGAAGGGCGGGAAATTGTTCAATTTGGTTCATTTTCTGTGCCGCGCCCAGGTATGTATCTATAGGTAAATAAATACTATATACACACAAAGCTCATACATCATTCGTGTGTGTATATGAACGCTGATAACGAAACTAAAAATTGCTGAACTTTGACGCTGACTAACTGAGAGTCAGTTCGGCTTAATTACAATTTTTATTTTTTGTTACTCACCGCGCAGAGGGCATTGAATATGAACACAAGATATTTGATCGTTGCTGTTGCACAACCCATTTTTCTATGGTTTATATATTTATATAGATATATATATATTTGTTAGGATACTATAATACACGGTATCAAAAACCGATGCACCTGCTTCGTTGACGACTTTTTTAGACTGAATTACTAAAAAACAACCGAGTGCCGCTTCACCGTCAGTTAGTTGCGATAATGATTCTACTGGGAAATTATTGTGCGACGGCGTTTAAAAAAGGTGCGCATATAAATAAAAATAACACTGTGAGAAATAACATACTGCTAATAGAGAGCAAAGCTCTAGAGGCTATGCTTATCAGATATTTGCCTAAGCCCCCATTTCTGGTTAACTCAATTTAGTGAGTAGTGAGTCGTTTACTTGACTCTGAGCAGTACACAAACTTAATACATGTGGCGCACGGACACGCCCATAAATATGACGAAGATAACTTCATTGAAAATATACCTACACCTAAGTGAGCATATCAAAATATGAAAGTCTAGAAAGACGGAAATAAAGAAAGAAATAATAGAGTAAAGTGAATTATGAAATAAAAATATTTATTTTTAGTGGAAAATGTGAATGGTAAATGGAACCGGGGAAAAATACAAGAGGGAACATATCAAGTATCTGAATCAAACTTTAATCAAAATTCTGGTTATAGTTCACATGTGGATCAGATCTTTATGCATGCCGTCAAGCAAAAAGAAAACAACTGAAATGTGTATGTATATGTTTTATCTATAAGTGGAATATAGTTTAAATATAAGTTGACGTACCTTCTACAACAGATTAAAATTGAAATGGAATACTACTTATAGATTATTGTTTGAAGTGAAACGAAAATGGGGTGCAACAGATAATGCTGAGTTTTTTAGAACAGTACGAATAGTGAAGTGAAATACAAGTGACAAATGGTTGGAATGTAAAGGGTCACACATGAAAGATGAAATTTTTAGACCTTGTACAATACTACGACAAATCTGTATAAGTCATTCGAAGTAAATATGACTAAATATATAAGGCCCTTGAGAATAAAGTGATAGATAATCTCAGATAGTTAAGTTACATGTGATGGATTATGCATTATAGATTGAAACACAATCGAAAAAGACACTCAAATGGTCTCAAGAGTTAGGGTAATACACAGTCTTCTCTGTCCCTAGTTGGCGCATGACCCTGAGCCATAGACTGAGCGCTCTCTAAACTAATTTGCTGATAACAACGCTTGCTAATGCCGCACACACATACAATCCGCGATACCAAACTGATATTAAATGATGACAATGTGGACTTACTGACAAACTCAAATTTATATATGTATACATTTATACATATATCCATATGTAATTGTCTAATTTAGTTCTGTTTTGCAGCTGGCACATCTGGAGTGCATATCAAACATGCGGGTTAATTATTAGTTGAGTGGAATGGCTGAAAAATATCAAATTGCTACAGCTATACATACGATCTACCCAATCATATTTATTGAGCGATAAGTTATGCACAGCTGTTATCACTCTGTTATCGCCCTATCAGCTAGAGCTGTAGAGCTTCTGAATGTTGTCTAAGCTACAAAAATGGACACAGCAAAATAACATTGTTTGATTTTGGTTCCATACATATTTTCCTCGTGCTCAGTTCAGTCAAACTGGTACGAATATTCGCACACGAAATATTACAAAAATGAGTTGCGGTACGAAAACGCTAAAAATCTCATCGTTCGTCTTGGATTTTCTTTGTTGTGTGAGTATTGAGCTAATATATCAAGAGTTATCAGTTGGGCAGATAGATGATACATGTTTCTATCAGGTGTTTAGCGCACTGTCTATAGCGGCTTGCTCGTATGCCCTAGCAGTGTTCCCGCACAGTGAGGCCATTCGCATACCCTGCATATTGGGCATAGTGCTGGGTATACTGCTCTTCGGCAGCACCATCTTTGGCTGCATTGCGGCGCTGCGTGAGGACATTCGTCTTAATTGGATTGTGAGTATTACGTCTACTCGAGTATGCCTACAAATAATAATTATTTTTATTTAATTTTTATAGTATGTTGCAATTTTGTTAGCATTAATATGTGCACAAATTACCGTTATATTCGCACAACCAATCAACTTTCAGTTGTTGGCCAATGAGACCATCTACAATGCCTGGCAGCAGCAACTATACAGCAATGACAGCATGTCCTACTATGAAATCAAGGTAAGACGAACTGAATTTGTTTTATTTTAATTTAATTATTATGTTTTTCTTCTAGTATCACTGTTGCGGCAAATCAGGCCCCCTGGACTATGCCAATAGCAGACTACGCGTGCCCGCTAGCTGTTATTTAAATCAGAATTCAAGCATTGCTACGGATTTATATACAGTGGGCTGTAACCAACGACTGGCCACTGCTTATGTCATAGGCACTCGATATGAGCGCATTAGTGATTGGTCAGTTGTGGGCCTCGAAGTAAGTAAATCTATCTACTCAATCTAAGTACATATGTACTTGACTAACTAATTCAAATTGCAGATATTAACTGTCATAGTTGGCGGACTGTTTGCCATTACATTACAGAATGCGGAACGCAGACGTCCCTACCGCTAGTTTATACAACACTTGATTAACAATTTAAACAGTATTCAAAGTTGTACAAAAATGGTACCTATTGTTTTGTTTATAACCTAAAACCTCGCAAAGTTTTTCTGTTTGAAAACTAAAGAAGCTGAAATGAGCGCCACCTGTTGTGTTTTTATGCAACTATTAACTTATTGTTATTTTTAAATATGCGTAAAGTTCTGTAAACGATTATAGACAAATGGTTTGAAATTATGAATAAAGTGTTAATAAATATAAAGCAGTAACTGTGGTAGTAATATATTCCAATTGTATTATTAAATGTACATCTCAATGTTTAAATATCAGCAGCGCGACGCAGCGTTGCCACCTAAGCTTTAATATATTAACCGACCGCCACAATCTATCGCTCGCGCTATCGATATGTTGTTTACAAATATCAACACAATAAAAATATTAGCAGTGCGCTTAACTAGTTTTCCGCTTTAAAAGCGTAGTTTCCAGCATTCGACCAGCATGTATTCATAACGTGTTGTCAATTAATACACACTCACGCACGCCGCGCATAGTGTAGTGTAAGGTGTATACAGTGCATTGGTCGCGGCCAAGTTCGACGCTCGCAGCGAACAACTCCACAGCACAAGCAAAATATAAAGAAGTGATCAATTTGTATAGCCCAGAGAGAGAGGTTCGGTTATTGTTGCCGGTCATTAGCACTACGTATCTGAAGGCAACCACATCGTGCACACGGACAACTCTCTTCCGAGTAGAAAACGAAAATAAATAACGCTTAGCCATACACGTCAAAATGGGTCTGCGATTCCAGCAGCTAAAGAAGCTTTGGCTTCTTTATCTGTTTTTGCTGTTTTTTGCATTCTTCATGTTTGCAATTAGCATAAATTTATATGTGTCAAGTATACAAAACGCTGAGGTAGAGCCGCGGTGAGTGACCGAAAATTGAATATATTCCATTGTCTTCTATTGTTCAACAATGCGCATAGTGAAATTTGCACAAATTTTTGCCACGAAGTTGCAAGCAAACTTGGATTACAAACTCTAAAACATCATTACGATGCAGTGCATTGCATAATTTCCTTCAAATAAAGTTGACTAACTGGCTAAATGGCTGACGGTCGAGCTGGCTGACTAACTGACTGCCTGACTAAACGACTAACTGACAAACAATCTGGCGATTGACTGAATGGCTGTGTAGTCGACCAGCTGACTGACTGAATGGCTGAGTGACTGACTAGTACACTGACTGAATGGCTGACTAGCTGACAAAAGAACTAACTGCCCGAAAGGCGGTCGAGCTGACTGGCTGACTAAGGGATTAACTGCCCGATTGGCAATCAATCTGGCTGAATTGCAGACGAACTGGCTGTATTACCGGTTGCAAACTTTACTAGCTGCTTAACTGACTGGCTGACTATCTGACTACCAAATTAGCTGACTGTCTGCCTAAGCGACGATCCGACTAGTTGACTACTTCAGTAGCTTCTTAGCTGCTTGGCTGCTTAGCTGCTTAGGTGATGTTGCAAGTGGCTGTTGTTACACTCGAGTGGGTTGACTCGACTTCATCTTCATCTCCATTTCCAGCCTTGCTTTCGATTTTTTTCCGTAGCTATTTTGCATTTCCACTTGTATTGTTAACTGCCCAACATTGCCATTGTCATCTATTGTTTGTTTGTTTTTTTCTGTTTCTTATTTATTTATATTTTTATTTATCTCTGTCCGGTCCAATCAACGTGCGAAGTCATCCAAAACCGCCGCCAAAACGACGCTCACTGTGGCCGTACAAAAACATTGTGGCTCACTATATTGGCAAGGGAGACATCTTCAGCAATATGACTGCAGGTTAATAAACCACATCAATGACACAATACACAATCACATCAACATCAACACCAATACCAAAAACAACTAGTAGAGATAAAAGCAACTTAAATGTTCAATGACTATACATTTGCAGATGATTACAACATTAACCAGTTCGAACCTAAACAGGGCGAGGGCGCCGATGGCCGACCCGTAATAATTCCATTGCGAGATCGCTTTCGTATGCAGCGCTTCTTCAAGCTGAATAGCTTTAATTTATTGGCCAGCGATCGTATACCACTAAATAGAACACTCAAGGACTACAGAACGAATGAGTAAGTAAAGAGTGGAAACTTTTCACTTTCAACTAGATATATAAAATACATATATGTATGCCACTCTACCATTCTAGATGTCGAGAGAAGCGTTACACTCAGAACATGCCCACCACATCGGTGATCATTGTCTTCCACAACGAGGCCTGGTCTGTGCTGCTGCGCACGATAACGAGCGTCATAAATCGATCGCCGCGACATCTGCTTAGGGAAATCATTTTAGTGGACGATGCCAGCGATCGCTGTAAGTAGCCGATGACTCATTGAAGTCATTACAAAACTAAGCACCTTCGCCTTATTCTTGCAGCCTTTTTAAAGCGTCAGCTCGAGGCGTACATCGAAGTGCTAAAGGTGCCCACGCGCTTGTATCGCATGAAGGAGCGCAGCGGCTTGGTGCCTGCTCGCTTGATGGGCGCCCAGCATGCACGTGGCGACGTGCTCACCTTTTTGGATGCACACTGTGAATGCTCGAGGGGCTGGCTAGAGCCGCTGCTGGCACGCATTAAGGAATCCCGCAACGTTGTCATTTGCCCTGTTATCGACATCATATCGGATGATAACTTTAGCTATACGAAAACCTTTGAGAACCATTGGGGCGCCTTCAATTGGCAACTGAGTTTCCGGTGGTTCTCCTCCGATCGCAAGACACGACAAGCGATCGCAAAGGAAAACAAAGACAGCACGGCGCCTATAGCCACGCCGGGCATGGCTGGCGGACTGTTTGCCATCGATCGCAAGTACTTTTATGAAATGGGCGCCTATGATAGGGACATGCGCATCTGGGGCGGTGAGAATGTGGAGATGTCCTTTCGCATTTGGCAGTGCGGCGGACGCATCGAGATCAGCCCCTGCTCCCACGTGGGTCACATATTCCGGAGCAGCACACCGTACACCTTCCCTGGCGGCATGAGCGAGGTTCTCACCTCGAATCTGGCACGCGCTGCAACTGTCTGGATGGACGACTGGCAATACTTTGTCATGCTCTATACGGCCGGCCTCTCGCTAAGCGCCAAGGACAAGGTGAATGTTACGGAGCGCTTAGCATTACGCGAGAAACTGAACTGCAAGCCATTTTCCTGGTACCTCGAGAATATATGGCCAGAGCACTTCTTTCCCGCGCCGGATCGTTTCTTTGGCAAGATTATATGGCTGGATGGTGAGACGGAGTGCGCCCAGGCGTACAGCAATCACATGAAGAACTTGCCGGGACGAGCGCTGTCGCGCGAGTGGAAGCGCGCCTTTGAGGAGATCGAGAGCAAGGCCGAGGAATTTATGTCGCTAATTGACTTGGAGCGCGACAAGTGCTTGCGTCCCCTGCACGACGATGCACCGCGCACCTCGCTACAGCCGGTGACGGTGGGCGATTGCTCATCACACGCACAAACAATGGACATGTTCGTCATAACGCCCAAGGGTCAGATAATGACAAATGATAATGTTTGCCTCACCTATCGCCCGCCCAAAAACGGGGCATTCAAGCTACTGAAAAATCGGAATGCAACGAGCTCCAATGTGGTGCTGACGCAGTGCATTAGCGATCCAAGTCAACAGTGGACCTATGACATGGATGTGAGTAATCAGGCGGACAGATTCTTAATAAATTACAAGCTAATCTGTATTCACTCTCTCCTTACAGACCCAACAAATTTCGCATCGTGAGACGAATCTATGCCTTACGCTCAAATCGGCGACGAACACACGCAGCCAGAAGGTGGAGAAGGTGGTACTCTGCATGGAATGTAACTTCAAGGATATAACACAGAAATGGGGACTTATACCGCTGCCGTGGCGCATGTGAAGCTGCTTTTATGTTTATAATCAAACGAAATTAATCCCCTGCCAGCGATCTAACACAATGTGATATTTATTGAAATTGTTTAACGACCCCCCGACGCACACTCACAAATACGAGCGCAATCACCTGTTCGTGTATTTCTACACCGGGACACGCCCACTTGAATTGTTTTCAGTGTTTGCCTGGGAGCTTTTCTCCAACTTTATTGGTACTCTATGCAATTCTATGTCATATTTATTAAGTGCAAATTTTTAGGAAATTTTAAGGCGACACTAGACAAAACAAAAACAAAAACAAAAAAAAGAGTAACAAATACCTTACATTTTATATAACACTTAAATAAAAGCGAAAAATAACGTAGAAATTGTCACTGTGTGCTATCTTCACCTTTTATATTATAATCGTATATGTATATAGTCAACATAGATTAAGAGCCTCTGCATCTGCTTTAAAATGAAAGCAACTGCTGCAGATTGCCGCATTCGCAAGATGATCTGCTGCTACACCACAATTAAGTACACTGGACTCTTGTCCAATTTGCTGTATATGGTGAGCTTGCACTTTGCATCTGTTGGCTATAAATTATTAATTAATTATTCTCTTACAGCTGCTGGCCATTGGCGTAATGGCTGCCGGTGGATTGGGTCTGCAGATGGCGCAACCAAACACGCCGGAGCATACGTACTTTGTGGAAAGTCTGGTGCTCGGGGCTACGATCTGCACCATAATTATATTTGGCTGCTATGGCCTGGTCAGTGATTTGCTTAGTGTGAATATAATTGTGAGTTGAAATGATTTATGTATAAATCGGAATAATATATGCTAATCTGCTTCACTTTTAAGTTTACCGGCTTCATTTTGATCGTGCTCGGACTGGAGTATTTGCAGCTGCATAACTATCAGCCGCACAGTCGCTATAAAAACACCTCGCAGCAGCTGGAGCTGCTGACGGTCTGGCACAAATTGGAGAAGCAGCCGGAGCTTATGCAGCAGTATGAGCAGCAGCATCATTGCTGCGGCTACAATAATGCCAGCGACTACAAGGCTATGCAGTTGCCCATACCCAAAAGTTGTTATCAGCCTGGCAGCGATGAGCTGCTTTTTACACGCGGCTGTCAAGCGACATTGAAGCATGGCCGCAGCCGTATCGAGCAGCGCGATAAGCTCTTCATGTGGTGCATCATTGGCCTTGAGGTAAAGACCAGTCACAGCGACCAGTTCACTGACCTTCAATGACAATAACAAATTACTTGTATGCACACAGATTTTCATACTGGTGCAGACGATTGTGTTGAGCGGGCTGCTTTATAAGCTGAGACGGCGCGAGCGACTCGCACGACAGCAGGTGCCGCCAGGTGTGCGCCGCGAGCCGCGCGCCAATCATGTGGGCTCCCGTACCCAGCTGCTGGACAATGTTTGAGCTTCAACATCATATCAAATAAGTCGTTTATTGTATTATATAAAGAATCGTAAGTTCTAGTAGGTGTAGCGACGCGGCTTGTTGGTCAGCTGACAGCACAGCGTAATGCCCAAAATAATGCCGATAATCTTCAAAAGAGAAATACATATTAGAGAGAATAATCTACAATTTATACTATGCATAGCTCACTTCATAGCCAATCAGTCCACAGTGCACCCACTTCTCAAAGCGATAGATTGAGAGATGAGCACGCTTCACGGCCGACATGCAACCCTCTGTATAGGGATAGAGCGCATGCACACCGTCGACGGTATGGAAACAGCTCTGAGGCGCACGCATGGTGCTCGTGTAATCGGAGAAGCCCTTGTTGCCGCAGCATTCATACTGGAGAAACACAGATATTAGATTTATGTAAATCTAATCCAAATTATGTAAATTCTTACCCTCTGCTCCAGTTGATGCATAGCACCGGAATGCGACAGCTCCTTCAGCCAAATGCCCATGACAAACTCCTCTGTGGTATTCACGTGTCTGGCCTCATTGTAATGCATCAGTCGATAAATGTGCGCGCCTATCAAGCACACCAAGAAGACCAAGTGCTGAGTATAATAAATATGTTAATTCAGTTCATTTTTATAATTCCTCTATCAAACGCACCACCACCAGCACCTTGATGGAGCCGAGAAAAGCGCCCGAGCAGCCGATCACTGCAGCCAGGATGAGGGTTCCAGCCATGGTCAGCTGCCTGATCTTCTCGAAGTCAATGTGAGTTGCAGAGCCCTCGTCCAGTTTGTAGATCAGCTCGTAGACGCCGGCTAAGGCAGCCAGGCTGCCAATTATCTAAGAACATAAGAGAAGAAATTAATGATCAAAATAAAAATCATGTGAATTAATAACGCGTCATAAAATAAAAAGAAAAACACAAATATAAAAATCAAAATCAAGCCAAAAAAATTAATGAGCAAATACAATGAAAATGTTCGCTGTCTTTATGTCAGGCCAAAATAAAAGCAAATATTAACGCATGGAATTACTGGCGGCTTTATTTTTAAATGCCCAGCGAGACACAGTCACACACACACACACAATACACACACGCACTCATCAGCTCTCGCACACAGATATACTAAGTGCGAAAAATATAGCAATAATTAAAAATAAGTAAAGTGACAACTTGTCTGGGCGCAATGGAAGCAAGAGATTTGTTTGATGCCAAATTAGCTGTATATAAAGTAAAGGCTAAATATATGCATATATATATATATATATATATATATATATATATAAGCAATAATTAAAAGTAAAGTGATTGTTAACTAAATGAGCTTAATTATAAATAGCTTCTATAGCTTCTGTCCAGCTTCATCGTACATATTACTTATACGCACAGTGTCGCTTAACGAGCATATTACTCATACGCAGTGTGCGTCAAGCGGCAAACTACTTGTTAATGGAAAAACTTGAGAACAATTTGTATAAATGCTAATGAGCCTACATATGTCAGCATAGCGTTTATTCACACACATATGTTTCCATTAATATGTGGAGAAAAATAACTAAAAAAGTATTAATTAAATGAAAAGCACAGAACTCACCAAAGTAAATGTATTGAACACCACGGCCGTCCATTGCAGACACACCTGCAATGTGGGCATTGTTGGCAGCGGCAACTAAAATTCTTTTGAAATATATGCTAAAATATGCTCGCTCTTTATTTATTTCTCTGTACTTTTTATATGTTTTCAAATAATTGTTTTATGGCCGTCGTCGCGCTGTATGTTGAATCTCCAATCCGTACGAAGACGCGCGCGCTTCTGTTAAGGCTTTTTCGGTTGCCACGAGAACTCAACTCGTTCAGTTTGAAGAAGAAATGCGAAATGTTTACAAAAGCGTTGAGTGGTTGCCGCACGGTCGGTTTTTCTTTTTTGCTATAATTTTTTTTTCTCATTCTTTTTGGTCGTTACTCAAGAGACACATCCCCAGCAGCTGTCCCGCCCAAGTCCCGCAGCGAGACGTTCGCAAGTTTCCCATGTATTTTTATATGCGTCTTTATAGGCAGGCTATATATCTATCTACTTAGACGCATCTATTCAGCTATGCTGTCTATATCTATAAGTAGTTTTGGAATATACAACACAACTACAACAACTATTCGAGAAAGCAAAGAAAAGAAAACACAATATACAAATTTATAGACCATTTAATTGGATCGTATCAATTGAGTTTCGTTTCATTTCGTTTCGCACGATATTTGTATATTGTAAAATGCCAACACTTAAGGATGCTACGTTTAAGTTTTCAACTGCATTATGAGCTAATGGCCAATTGGGAAACCTTTTCAAAAACGCTCACGTCGCTGTTTATTGCGCACGGTGATGCCCAAGTGGGTGGCTGCGCCCAAAGCGCCAAGCTGGAAAAGATGGAAGACAGAAGGTAAAATGATTTAATATTCAAGCTACAGGCCTTCACTTCCATGTGGAGAATAATTAATACACTAACAAATTTAGAGAGCCAAGAAAATATGAAATTAACCATAAAATGATTTAAGAGTCGAGAAAGGAGCAAAGCTATGATCTCTCCTATGAATATATCTACTCGACTATAATATAATAGAAAATAAAATACTTTCCCCAACCTTACTTAAGAATCTACTTGACATATTCCCTAGCCAACATACTCTTGCATATAAACATACAAAATATTTTATAAAATCTATTCTTAACCCTTCTAAGCTAGCCATAAATTATTCAACCGAATTGATGTTAAGGTCAACTTGCCTCTAGCGCGAAGAGCAGCCATTTGCTGATCAGCCCGTAGATGAGATTATCAGTGGCATGCGATTGCACAGCCTCCAAGCAGCCGTTGCCATAGAGTTTACTCTGCAGTCTCTCCTTGTCCTCATAGCAGCTGAGTGGAAAGCCAACACCTTGAAGGATGTAGTCCTGAGGGCCACTCTGGCCGCAACATGTGTACTGTCAAAGGAAAGGATAAAGAACTGATTTTCCGAATTTCTGTAATCCAACTCACCTTCTGCTCGATAAATGCAATGCGCTCCTTGCTGCGACGCTGATCCGCCCATAGAGCCAGGAAATCTGTGCGGGATCGTTCCACGTAGTCCGTGACGTGAGCTGCGACAATTATATAGACTTGCAAGCCAATCAATATCAGCATACAGCTGACGAACTGTCAGAAGAAAGTATTAGGTGATATTCGATAACAAGTTCTCCCCACTCACGCTCCAAATGAGGCTCAGGGAGAGCCGTGCGCCAGCAAAGCAACCTAGAAACGAGCTCAGCACCACAAACGTGCCCACAAAGATTTGCACCACAATTGCGACGTGCTGAAAAGTGCCCGCCGAAACGTTGTTCAGCTCATAAACGGAGAACGCAATGAAGGCGATGCCAACTAGCTGAAAATTAACTGGGCAATTAATGCGGACACAGAGCATATATATAAATATGACGTATACGCACCGTTAATAACACATTTAAAACAATGAGCAGGACCTTCAGACAACCCTCGCGACTGGCCATGTTCACAAAACCAAAATCAATCGATAGTGCGTTCAATTTCCTTCAGAGCTTCTGCTTCTAATACAAATAATAAACACGCTCCAGCTCCAGCCCTTTAGCCGTACAGGTTGAATTGCGACTAAGCGACGCGCATTTAATTTTTGAAATTGTGGCGCCCCCTCCAAAAAAGAAAAAAGGCCACCAGCCCAGACAATAAGGCGAAACGACAGTCTGACATTCAGCTAGCTTTTTGCTATTGGTGGCTTCTACCAAGAAATCAACGTTCAAGTGCTACCTCGCACTGTGTTGTGCTTGCAATACCCTGTAAATGGGACGATGGGTAAATGCTTGAAGTAATCATTATGTTATTTATTTATTTATTTTTATTTATTTATTTATTTTATTTTTTTTTTTTGCATTGGCATTATGTTTTTAATTACATTTAAATTTTACAAATTAAAAAAAAAATTAAAATTAAAGGATGAGGAATATTTTAATAATCTCATTTGAATTTTAAATATTCTCTTTTTTAGTTTTAAGTATTTACTTACTTTCAGCGTAGAGTATCTCTTAGTCAAATATTCTTAATTGGTTACCATAATACTTGTTGTGCCATTAATGTGCTTGTGTATGTGTGTCTCTTGGCGGTCATAACATTTGTGGGTGGTATGATGTCACGACGATGCCGACAAAAGCTTTTGCCCACAGAAAAGGAGCTTTTGTCCTATATATATAATATATATATGATACGTATATATGTATATATACATAAACATTCATTGATAAATTGCGCAGCACAAAAGCTACGTGATACGTTGATAAGGCAAAGGACATCAATAATAATGAAGTAAACAGAGTAGGCTTTCATTTGTGTAAGTTAAATCAGTCTCTATCTGGTAGCACAGTCTCTGAACTTTCTCAAATAAGAGAAGCTATAATTAAAATACCTAAAATGTTATTGAATTTTCTAACTCTTTTCTTGTTCAGTGCTGGCATACGAGCGGATGGCGAGCTTAGAGTCTTGCACACTCCTCCATCAGCGGATTGGATTGGCGGGGATCAACTCGATAGCTTCTACTTGAGCGATGTGCTGCTGGCCACTCAAGGGCATACTACGAGTGGCAATAGTAATTGGAGCGGCTTGGTCATTGCGAATCCCTTTGATTTGGGTGCCACTTCTACAATACTGGTGCATATCCAAGGTATTTATAGGCTAGAACCATTGGAAACCTTGAAGGTTTATGATCTATTGAATTCGGAAACTCTGAAGTCCATGGACAATTTCATTGGCGAACTTGATCCAAGGACCGTATATGATTTAAATTTCACTAACCATACTCTCGGTGTAGCGAAGTATAAGCACTACTTTGGAAATAACACTGTGCCCATGGCGGAGCCCATGCAGCACTTCAAGCCTGCTGAGTATGAGACGCATCGAAAGTTCCTTGAGGAAGTTGGCTATATGCATGCCGTCAGTGAGAACTTGACTCACTTGTTACAGCCATCGCAGGTGATCGTCATACGCATCTCATTGCGGACCATTGTCAAGACCAACAATTATAGTCTGGTGTTAGAGGCCAAACATATTATCAATCAAGCTATTTCTCGTCTACTGAGTGCGGCCCGGCTCATTCGCAAATCGCTGCTCTTTGTGCAGACTACAGATAGAGAGATGATCGCAGACATATCCGGGCGTGTTACGAAGTCGGGCAATAATACAAATCCATTTAAAAAGCTTCCAGATCGCGATTTTCCGATCATATTCAACATTATTTTGTGGTTCTCTCTGTCGATGGCCTTGGCCCTGGCCATCGTTTGCTATGTAGTTGCCACTATAGACCCGGGCTATGATTCGGTTATCTATCGTGTGAGTCGTAAATTAGTATATCGGTCGAACAAAAAGAAAATCTAAAGCTGTAAATATTCCCTATTGTAATAAATACCGCAATAATTGCTTGGGTATTTCCATATAAATAATTCAATATTTAAAAATAATAATAAATTTCAGCCTATTCCATTAAGCATTTCTCTTCATATTATTAAGTGAAAAAATGCAAACGATCCATAGTTTTTTTTTTTTTTTTAATTGACAGAAAGTTCAATCATTTTGGCATTCCCTGAGTCACATGCCTTGTTTATCAATTAGCCAGCCCTCGTTTTTGGCCAAGGCGCATGCCAAAATGAAGAAGCCAAAACATAAATACGACAAATGCGTACAGTTTTATATATATATTATAGTATATATATTTACATGCTCATATACAAACATATAGATTTACATATGGTATGAGGCAGGCGGATGAGCAACAAGTTGTCTGCCTCTGCCAGCGCATATTTTCTTTCGTATTTCTTGCTTCATTTTGGCCATGAAAATGTGACGTCGCTCTATTTTTACCATTCATAACAAAGCTCTAGGCTTTTTGCTCATAGAAATTTTACTGGAGAATGGGCTCGCACCACGTGTATTTGTGGCTGAATAAAAAAGACGAGCAATAAAAAAAATGTGTGGAAAAATGTTAATGAAACTTGATGCCATTTTAATTAGTGATATTAGCCAGATTGAAATAATTTCTTACAAACCCAATTATTTTTTATTTCATACCATAGAAATACTTTATCTTTGTAGAACACATACATATATAGTTTTATTTGCTTTGTTTTTAAATAATTAAATTAAATTATAAATAAATAAAATTGATTTAATTACTTAGCTTAGGTTGCAGCAGTTGTAGTAAAATTTTAAGCTTATGAATTTTAGGCATATATAGTTATTATAATTATTATTATATTTTTGGTAAATATTTATGCTCGAATATCCAGAGCACAAATCAAATACTTAATTATCCTTTGGCCCAGTGGGCGCGGCTAGAGTTTAGCCCCGTTTTTGTACTAGTCATTCAGCTACAGTTGGCCATTAAAATTGCAAGCGGCGCTGCTTGTTACGGAAACTGATGGCCAGGAAAACGGCTATAACAAAGCACAGCAACTGCAGATGGGGCATGGAAAAACAGTTCACACAGTCATTAGAAAATTCAATTAAAAATTTATATTGCAATAGGGATCGATAGTTACCTCAAAGGCCACGAGCACCCAGGAGACTATAATGAAGCGTAGCTTGTCGCTTTCGTAGCGACTCTGCAGCTTCTCGATGCAGCCCTCGACATACAGATGCTCCGGCTTCTGATCCAGATCGATATAGCAGCTGGGCGGTATCAATTGGCGCAGATGGACATAGTCTTGGGCGCTGCTCTTGCCGCAGCACTCGTACTTCTGCTGCAATCCGTCCATGTTGTTGGCCTGCCAAGCCAGCTCCACTGTGGTCTGGGCGCTCTTCACCTCAAACTGATGCACAAACATTATGGTGCTCACAATTTGCGGTATGGCCAGCAGCAGCAAGAAGACGGCGCTCTGAAAACGAACAAAGCAAGTTACTCACTCTCCCTCCCGCTCTCTCCTGCTAATTAGCCGGTTCAATAACCTACCGCTGCGGTCAAGCAAACCGATTCGCGTACTGCCGCATATATGCCCAGAAAGGCGAACAGCAAAATTATCGCACATGCCACGTAGGCGGCGATAACGAATTCCTCGCTCTCCGTATCTGCATAGAACGCTATCCAGCCAATAGCACCCACTGCCAGGAACTGTAAGACAAACGGAAATTCAACTGGAAATTCTCACGAGTCATTTGCATGATAATATATATATGAGATAAATGTATATAGATATACATATATATTATGACTTATATGATGACAAGGTCCAAGTGCACATGAAATGAATCGAAATCGAAACGCTGCAGCACTTTAATTGAGGTTTTTCTAAATTATATATATGAGTGCATCGCATATAGAGATAGAGATGCCATATATGTGTAACATAGAACCGCAAAGCGCGACACTCGAGTGATTTGTATACCCTAGTCAAGAGAGGATATTAAAATATTGTTACGATGTACATTAAAGTAAAATAGCTGAGAGTTCATATATTCAAGCAGAAAGTGCATGTAATTGCAATAAAAATAAAATGCATTTTAGTGAACTTCCGGTAAATCAGAAATATTTTTCTTGGCTAATATGATGAGCTTAGCTGCCTCTTAAATAAATAATTGCTAAAGGGTATTTCATCTTCTACAGCTTCTGCTTTATTTCGTTCTCTATAGTAATTGGTTGCTTGATTAATTTATATACCCCAACAAATAGTGAATATATATCACATACACAATATCAAGTGGGTATATTAAAGGTATATGTCTTGACTAAGAATACACTTATTTAAAATTTCAATCGAGTATCTAATCATTGACAGTTGCTGCTCCCTTTTACTTTTCTATCAATATCATTTGAGGGCTGTTGTTGTTGTTGTTTGCGCGAAACACACCCCGTAATCCAATTGGAGGGTTGAGAACTGAGCCAGCCTGGATTCGGATAACGCTGTATATAGGTCAAACTACAAATAAGTAGTGGGTCATGACATCATCCGGCACCAGCCAGAAAGAAATTGTGGTGCAATTGTGGCAAACAGGCGTCTACATACATTTTCCGCCAGCACACAATACTCGACTTCAAAACAAAACAAAAGCTGCAAGTGTAAACAGTGCTAGCCATGGTAACAACAAGGGGTTGGCTAGGCAGCAGGAAGGAGGCGTTGTGTGTGCTGGCCAAAGACCTGTCGACGACGTGGCTAAAGTGTGTGAAACTGACAAATGACAAAATATGTATTAAAAATACAACATGGCCAGATATAAGTGGCTCAGCGACAGCATTGAGGCCATGTGCACGGGAATTTTCGTGCAGGCGAGCATCTTGCAGAGCTACTATCTGAGTAAATAATAGATATATAGTACTATAATATATATTCTAACAAATGTTTGACCAAAACTGATTTCATTTCGCTTTCGTTCTGCTTGCACATGACATCATGCCTGCAAGTGGCTTATTTCCTTTTCTGATTCTAATTCGAATGCATCAGTGAACTAATAAATGTCATTGAGATGTACATAAATTACATATCATACAGATGCGTCTGTGTCTGTATTCGTATATTTGCATAATTCACTCAGCTATATATATATTTAAAAAATAAAATAAAATCTTACCGCCAAAATGGCATTCAGCACGATTGAGGTAATCTTTACGCTGGTTGTGGCGCAGCCCATTTTTTTAAAGATTTAAGTTTGACAGGCTGAAAATTAAAAATAAAATATCGTTAAAATATCGCAACACTATTATTATTCTAGAATATTTTCAAACATAAAGAGTATATTTTTAATACACAATATGAACTATAGGAAAACATAAAAATTCAATATGATTTTTTTTTTGCTTAATTTTCCACTCTGTCAATGAAATTATTCTCTTTGTGTTTATTCCAATTGCTGATTGCACTTAATTAGCTCGCCCATTAGCATATGAAATTGTTCTCATTGTTTCACATATCACAGCACATAAACTTTCTTAACCTCTTGACTTCGAAATCAACAAAGCGCGCTTGTTTATTTTCGAAACAACAAATAAATTCTCCTTTTTTGTTTCGTTTAGTATATATTTTGTTTTAAATCCGTCTGTCGCGTTCAGCGTTTGCTTGCAAACTGAACACGAATAAAAATGTTCGTTATTTTCCACATTCAAAATGCTTTGCACACCCACACACAAACACACTCACACACACACATGCGCAGCAGCAGCAGGCCCGCATGAAATGTGAAGAGAGAGCGTCAATGCGCTCGCGCAGATGAGCACTGATTGCTGTGACGTCACTCTCAAGCACTCATTCAATCAGTTTATCAAGTACAACAATATATACACACGTATAAGAACAACCCGTTTTGCTTCGATTCATGCAGCATTCTTTTGGGCATGCTAGCTAAGTAGAGCTTCGTAAGCTAAAGAGCTCCGCCCTATGGAGATGTGCCAGAGTAGAATAAAGTTGTGGGAACTAAATATCCAAAGGGAATACAATAGAGTAATCGGAAGTAGTTATTCAGATGGAGTAGAGTACTGTAATCGGAATTAGTTATCCAGAGTGAGTAGTGTGAGGTGCAGTAGTCGACATTATCCAGAGCAAGTTAGATAGAGTCTGGAGTGGTTATCCGGTAGGAGTAGGGTAGAGTAGATTATTCGAGAGTAGTTATCCTGATGGAATAGAGCAATAGTCGGAAGTAGTTATACAGAGAAAACAGAGTAGTGTAGAGTATCAGTTATCCAGAAGGAACAGAGAGGAACTAGGCCAGAGAGAGAAAGCTATACACTAGTCAGTTACCTCTTGCTAGATGTCCAGTAGTTGATAAGCAATAAGAAATGTTGAATATAAGGCTCTTATACGCGATTCTCATATATTTAACTATGGTTTTGATATTTTCAGAATAATGTATAGATATGTGGATATGTACATGATTGTATATGAGTATACATGTATCTGTACATGTTTGTAAGTATATACTCGTAGGTATGTCAATATGACCGCAAATCTGATTAGAAACCTTCGTTCATTTGCTCCAAACAGATATCATGATTCAATAAGTCACAAACCATATTCCCTCACTCTCTCCCCTTCTCCATCCCTCTTCCTTTCTAACTCATTTGTCGTATTTACTGTCATATTTGGGAATAAAGCCATGCCAGCTGTTTTCTCGCTACTTGGCATGAAAACTCCATCAAGCGTGTCGTCATTGGAGCTTCATGCTTTTCTTTTATTTGATTATTTTTTGTTTTTGTTTTTTTCTCTTTTGCTTTTTACCCCCACGTTTCGATTGGTTTGCCTAATTGATTGGAAGCGCTTGGACGTTGCTTGATATGTTGAAAATGAAATCAAGTGAATTTGTTTATTCGAGTTTAGTTAATATTTTATTCATTGGGTTGCTTGGCAAGTGAACACATGGCGCAAAGCTGATGAAGAAGGTACATTGGTGACGCTTATACTTGAGGTGCTACGAGTACGATTCGTTTGACTACTATAACTAATCAGGCACGATTAGTAGTTATAGCGGCGTCTGCGATTCGAATAGTGTATGGCAAGAATGATGGCCAATCCGAGTATCACCAGCTGAAAGAAAACAAAATTATTATACTCAACGCGCACAAAGAGGGGCGGCTGAAGCACATACATCGAAGCCCAGCAGGCCCCATTCACAGTATCGCGATGTGGTCGCCTCATCGGCGAAGGCGAGCTCCACTTTGGCCAGACAGCCATCTGGATAGACGTTCAATGGATTCAGGCAATTGTTGAACTTACAACAACTAGACGGCACTGTATTATTTCTACGACCGATGGGAATATAATCAGCAGCTCCATAGCGTCCACAGCATGAGTACTGCGAGAAATGAATTCGGCACATAAATTGTCAAGCTCTTGCAAGAAAATCAAACACTTACTGTCTTTTGTATCAGATCCATGCTGCCCGGCCTAGTCAACTCCTGCTGCCAATGGTCCTCAACCGTCTTAATGGCATACTTCTTGAATACATCGCGCGTATTGAAGAAGATGAAGACGCCGATCAGCACGAGCAGCACTAACAACAGGGAAACATACTATGAAATGGCGGGAAATAAAGAACAAAATATATAAATATTGTTATCGATTATATGTCATACATATGTATATCTATTGAGCACTTACGGTCCAGAGCATGCGCGACGATTCCCTGATGGCCCCAAAGCAGCCAAACATTGATATCAGCAAGATAATGCCGCCGAGCACAATTATGCCGATGGCATATTGCTGTGGCATGGCACCCCAGCCAAGGCAGCCAAATACTATGACCAATATGCCAAGTATCTGGGAATGGGAAATATGTATAATTAGAAAGGAAAACCTAGTAACAAAATAATTATGAAAGATAAAAGCTAAGTGAATCATAAGTGACTCATTGGCGCATAGTAAAACGCCCCCAGTTCAAAACTAAAGCTAACATTATTTTAAAATTTGTATACAATTCTAATTATTATTGAGATTCAGGCTTTACATCATCGTGTGCATGAGATAATAAGGTATTGAAGCTGATGTCATGAGATATGAGAGCATATTTTGTATAACGACAAATTGGTCGCATTTGAGAGGCTAAACAAAAATCGTTGGCCGCTTTCATCGCCAGGTGTTGACGTCGGTGTCGTTTGCTTCGTTTTCTAATCCGGTTTCTATTTTGTATGTTTTTTAATTATTATACTAAATCTGAAGGCATGACGTCGCCGTTGTCGCTGAGTGCTTGTTAACAAAGAAGCTTTCCGAAGCGGCTCAAGGAATGCAAAAAAGAGCCACAGACAATAGACACAACTCACTCGCACACACACACACACACACATACTGTCACTCGCATACACACATCGACGCTCGGCTGAGCGCTAGAAATCATGCATGTATGTGTCTCTTTTAGACCAACAATAATAATAGTCTGCGAACTAGCACGCATATACAAGATGATATCATCTGGCCTTTAGGTAAAGCCACAAAAGGTTTTTTCCTTTGCGAAACAAATTTTTGCCAATATGGTATGCTAAATACACAGCAAGTGCATTTGTCTATTTTCTAATTCTCAATACGCACCACATGTTTCGCTTCGAAAACTTTTCAAAAATTTACACAACTTACCGCCCATAATGCGTTGAAGAGAAACAAGGAGTATTTTATGGTGCCCGTAGCGCAGCCCATGATTGCAAATAATCGGAAATGTGTTACGGAAAATTGAAAGCAATTATTGTAAACAAATCTGAGCTGATTAGCGGCACGTGCAACAGTTAGTCTAGACTAAAACTGGGCAATATTTATTTGAATTTTTTATTCCCAAGCAGAATGTTGAGAACTGCGAGCGTAGACGGTCACGAGCGAACTAAAACTCAAAAACTCAAACTGAAACTGAAACTGAGGCCGAGGCTGGTGCTAGTGCTGGCGCTGTTGCTGATGCCGAGCATGGAGCACCGCTGAGCACCACTGAGCACCACAGTGCAAACAAAAACACAGTAAACAAACACGAAAAGCAAAAGCAAAAAAAGCCAAAATCAAAAGTCAATTTATGAGAGTGTGTGCGTGTGTGTGCGCTCGTGTGTGTGTTTGTATACCAAAGCCCCAGCGTTGTCGGAAGCCAAGCAAACAAATAAACAAGAAAACAAACAGACAGCCGGGCGGTCTGACCCAGCCGAAGAGCCGAACGAGCTCCAAAGTAGTGCACTCCACAATTGGGTCTATGGTAAATAGTAGAGAGGAAAATGCGAAAGAGAACCACTGAGAAATTGAGAGAGTGAGAAAGAGAGAGCGACGATCAGCAACTCTTAGAAACTAATGCGATTATCGAACACATTGCGTCATGAATGGAGCGTGAGTATATTTGAGATCAATGAGATGAATGACGACAGAGCTCGGAGCTCTGTGTGCTCGGCTCAAGAACAAATGATTAAAACCAATTACACAAACTATCGGGGTTTGAGAGCTTACACAATTTATTTGTAAGTGTCTGAAAATAATATTGACAAATCGTAAAAATGCAATTCGAAATATTTGATATTGATATTGATATTGATATTTGTTTCCTCAATAATGATAGGTATATCGCCGTCGTTCCTTGCGGAAGCGTTGCACCAAATAAAATGTACAGAAGCACAGCAAAGCCTGTGGAAGATAACAAGCAAATTAATATTGATAATATATCCATGGAGAAAAGAAGATAAATTTACCGTTATAGCAAACGAACCCCATTTACTGTTATTAGCATAACTAAAGAACCGAAGGAACTCATCGGCAGCTGCGTTGACACAGCCCGTCGTGAAGTAGGGTATATTGGTTTTGCCATCGGGATAGCAGCTGTCTGGTAGCGTGGTGCGACCTATGCTCACATAATCTTCGGGTCCATTGCGGCCACAGCATTCATACTTCAAATGTAAATTATTCAAATAGTTATTCAATTATTGACTCATTCATTCATTGGCTATGCAACCCACCGTCCGCTGTATTTTGTCCATGGCACCACGCTCAACCATCTCCTGTTTCCATTTCACGTCTACATCTTCGACCGCAAAGCGTTTGATATACTCCTCATCGAAGCTGTTGCCGAACAAGCCAAACAATTGCACAATCAGCAATGCCAACAAGATGAAACCATACTGCGGCGTTAAAACATTTTACATAGAATCAATTGGCTGTTTGTTTTGCTTTGTTTTTGTTTTTTGTTTATCAAGTTCACTCACCGTTGTGGTCATGCAAACACTCTCCTGACAGATGCCACAACAGCCGATAATAGACGAAGCAAACAGCACCACACCAATCACATACAAATAGATAATATATGCAGTCGGTGCCTGGCTGAGACTCATCGTGGCTATTCCAATTATCAACAGGCCAAAGAACTGTGCAGTTAAAATACAAGCTCATTATGAATATATATTATACTTAATATTTAAATAATATACTTAAATATATACTTCAATATTTAAATTTTAGTTAGTTATTAAATTTCTATACATTTTTAGTTTTTTCTTCTTCTTTTCATTTGGAGGCTATATGATATGAAATCCGTATCTAGTCAACCTAAATTCAAATTTTCTTAGACATCAGCTCAGATGCAAAAAGATAATAAAAGAAAGATCTGGAATATAAATATGCATTTACATTGAATATGTATATACAAATGTATATGTATAAATATTTCTGGCAAATAATATGTGCTCAAAATTGCTAAGACTTTGTATTTAATTACAAAACCTAAATGGCTAGGCTGTTAGTGCTCATCACATTTATTTATGTACGTATATCTTTATATCTGTATATGTATATCTTTACATACATATAAACTACATCAATACCTTATACATTTCATTACAAAGATTTTATATTCCTAGCAAGTGCTTAAACAAATATACGTCAGAGTCTGGAATAATAAGATTTGTATATAGTCTATAAGTGGTACATGCTTAAGTATGTATGTATGTATATATGAAAGCATTTATCTACATATATTTATATAAAAGCGAACACACACAAACACCTGCTTCCATCTATTCTGTATATTGTTTGGCCAAAAACCGGCTATAAATTGACAATTCTAATATATAGTCGAACACACAGTGCAATACTCATGATATATATGTATATCCATACGCAAATGTATATCTCTCGATTGGCAAAATTTAAATTGGTAATTTCACGTTACTCCCTAGCTTCGCCAAACTTACCGCGTAGACCGTGTTGAGTATGTTTAAGAAACACTTAAAACAACCGGAAGTACAACCCATATTGACTACCGAAATTCGTAGCGTTTGCTAAAACTATTATATAATATAGACACAACCGATCGTATCGGCGTCGACTGCCTGACTGATGGCCAAAGAAACAACAGCAAAATTATATTTGGATCTTCGCTTATTGAAACAGTGTTGTCGAGCTACTGGAATTTCGGATTTGTATACAATATTAAAAATTCATAAAAATGTATTTTAATGTATAATATGCAATATGGTACTTAAATATATATTATATATGTGCATATGTATATTCGAGATCAAATTGGTGAGCTGAGATGATATAGCGTCAGCTCTTTAGTCGAAACCCAATCAACTTCTTTCACTCAGAGAGCGAGCATCGAACATAACTCAGTGAAAGGTCGTGAGCCGAGTTCGACTCGAGTGAACCTCTGTCCCCTATATAAGACGAGCCTGCTGCAGCACTTCCTCAGTCGTCTTTCTAACCTCCTGCTGGTCGGTCGCAGTGAAGTGCAGTGCTGTGCAGTCTTCTTCTGTGTATTTGGTAAATATTTAATAATATTAACTAGAGCAATTAGAATAATATTGTTAAATAATAAGAATAGTTATTAAGATAATGATAGTAATAATTAGATCAATAAATATGATGTTTGTGATGATGATTATGATAATTATATATTAATGAAATAATTTGTGTTATCATGATTATAATTATGATATTGATCATAATGTCAATAATTTGTATAATTATGATGTTTATTGTTTAAATAATCATAAATGGCCATTTTTATACTGCCTCTTGTAAATAATCGTTAAGGCAACAATTATTACGATATTGCATTAAATATTAAATATTAAAATGATAATGATCATTATAATTGGGTTTTACTTAAGATATGTATGATCAGTATGGTATTGTAGATTTTAAAATAATGTATACAACTTAATTGATATTTATTTAAGATAATGATAGTAATAACCATTAGCATAATGATCATAATCAGTATATAGATAATAGTATTATAATAATTATATTAATTAAAATTAATTATGATAATTATGTTCTTGCTACATTGTCTGAGTGCCATTGAAAAACTTTTAATCCTCATCATAATCATCATGTTCTTCTCGACATCTACAGTTAAAATGACATTTTTGCTAATGATATTATTTATTTAATTCATTTATTTTGGCATAGCCATGGATCGCTCGTATTACAACTAATTAAATTTCACTTAAAACAGACCGGATCATATGTTTAATCCTCATTAATGGGTGCCTCGTCGTCCTTGATTTTCAATAGCTTACGAGCCTTGCCCATGAAATAGGCAAAGAGTAGACTTAAAAACTGTAAATGTAAAAATTTTAATTAATATTCATATATATACATATTTGACTTATTAAATCACCTCCAGTGCCAAAATCACAATGGCTGCGTAATAATTGAGCTCAGCCTGGAATTGTAGGCTTTGGGCGGCTTTGATCACACAGCCCTCCTCAAACATGTGCGAAGTCACGGTGCAATCGAAGCCATGGCAGCAGCTGGCTGGCAATGCGCCGCCGTCCTCTTTGCCCAGATAGTCCTGTGGTCCATCAAGTCCGCAGCAGCGGAACAGACTATGTATGGGCTGCATTGTATCATTCTGCGTGGACTTCTCTCCGAAGAGTCGCTTAATTCGCTCATCAAAGTTCAGCAACAGCTGGGTCTTCATGCTCGAGAAGATGAAGAAATACGTGGTCAGCACAACGATAGTAAAAATGCTAAACATAATATACTAGAAAAAAAGATATCATATAAGTTAAGGCCAATTAAGGTAGCTAATTGAGGCACTTACATAATTGGAAAACCTATACGACTCTTTGAGCGCCACATAAATGCCCAGAAAGGAGACAGCAAAAATTAAAGCGCCACAAAGAGCAGCTGAATAACCGCCGTAGACAGACGCGGCGGATCCCCAGGTGACAACGCCACAAGAGAAGAACAAGATATTAAAGCCCTGTAAATAATACGATTTATTAGACATTTGTTAAACACAATTAAAAGCAGTTACACTTGGTTTGAGACTTAGTGGAATGCTTCACATTTAAGAAGAGAAAATAAAGAAAATAGAAAATACTTAATATACCATAATTCTTAATCTGAAGTTGACTGAGCGCTAAGAAAGATATAGTCTAAGAAATAAGATGAAAAATAAAATGATAGTGCTGAAATTGAATAGCACAAGGAACAAGCGGTTAAACATATTGTTAAAGGGTAATCAATGGTAACAAATGCCACAAAAGCATGACAGAAATTAAAATAAAGAAGAGAAAAACACAAATAGAATAAAAATAAAAAAGAAGATCAAAGTAATCCAACACTATTCCAAGACCTTAGAGCCTTCCACTTACAGCCCAGTGAAATGTTTACGTATAGAAAGTAAAGAAGAATTGAAAGAACTCATAATATTCTAAAAGCATTTACATTCGAAATATAAATGTGTGAATATGAGTGAGCAAACATACATAGACATTGAAACGGGCATTTTCAATTTATAAATATTGCCATTTGGCTGTCATAAATAGATTTACAGCTATATAAGTTTGGGCATGTATTGCCGGCTGTGGCTCGCAATTATGCAAATATTGCGCCGCATTGCGTATACC